ACAAAGTGATAATCAATCTCCGCGTGTTTTGTAGGAGCATGAAAGATTGAACTAAGAGCAACTGCTATGGAAGAGGTATTCTCACAATAGATTGGTGTGGGAGCAACTAGTTGTATGTGGAATTCTTGAGAAAGTCACCCCAACTAGATGATATTTTTGGTGGCAGCTGCTAGAGCTCTGTAGTCCGTTTTCTCGAATAATCTAGCTACTTTACTTAGTTTTTGAACTGTCCAGGAGATAAAATTATTGCCTAAGAAGCAAAAAAAACCTATTGTAGACCTACGATCATGAAGATTATCAACCCAATTTGCGTCAGACAGGTTCTCAAGGTAAAGGTGGATTGTGGCCATGAGGTAATGGAGTGGCTATTTAATTAGCTGGAAATGATAGAGAAGGGGTTTGTGCATCTATTAACATAGAAAAGTGACAAAAAATTCAATGTCTAGCCTCATAACAGTTAGAAATTCCTGCGACCGGTCAAATTGTCATTATTGAGTAATTTAAGAGTATTCGTGTTTAGAATCGGGGAGACATAAGTTGTGGGTTGACACACCTAAAAAATACTTGATTTTTTAAATACATTCAATGCTTAATTTTAATGATATTGCTATTTAAAGGAAGGTATTTTGCATGTTTTTGGTTTCCGGTACAAGAAATGGACTTTTGGAGAAAAGGAAAAAAACGGTGCAATTTGGAGCAAAAACGAGCAAGAAATGAAATTTTGTCCTGTCACCTTTCGATAAGTCTTTTGATGCTTGATGCTTAATATGCTTAATCTATTTTACACTTCTTACATATTTCTGAATGAGATTACACTTTAAAGGAATGTCGTTTTTATGCTTATTTTGTAGGGCTATCTTTTAGGAACACAACGCAACTGAAATGGGGCGAAACAGAGCTAAAACGGAGCCAAACGGTGAAGTTGCGCAGTCTTCTCGCTCTTCTCGCCGACGGTGCCAAAACGGCGCCGACGGTGAGATTTACCCAAGAAGACCAAAAAATGATAGAAAGGCTCGCCGATGACAAAAAAACTCGTCGATGGCGCCCTCTAGCCCGCCGATGGCGCCCGAGACGACTATGGACCGACTTTTGGCGGTTATGGGCCGAAATTCAACGTATTTGGACACTTTTTAAAAGTATTCTTGTGGCAAATCTTCAAACTTCATCCCTACACTTTAAAAGAACAAATTAATGTTAGAAAAGTGGCGGTTTTTAGAGTTTTTTGTGAGAGGAATGTTAGAAAAAGTGTGGAGAAAGATAGGGTTTTTAGAATAGGAGTAGAAATGTAGATTTCTACCCTTTTGCAGAAATTGGAGAGGAGATTTTGAGAGAATTTGTAAAGAGATGTTCTAGCATTGCATGGATCGACGGGAGATTTTGTGGGAGATATATTCGTTTTTCTTTCAAAGGGAAAAAAACTAAGTATTGTGTTGTTCATTATCTTTTAATTTTTGTAAACACTTATCTAGTGCATTTGCTTTGGTTAAATGAAGTTTCCGAAATGAAGTTTCCGTTGTGTGTGATGGGCTTCTCTTACTCTTTCTTCTTCTTTGAGAATAATGGCATGAGAAAATTATGTCATTGTTTTCACTTTACTTCTCTTTTGAAATGAGCAGAATTCATATTTAGGATTTTGGGATGCTTGTTAGAAGAAGATTTAATTATAAATGTGATGGTTTTTACTTGTACTTCATTCACATTATAACAAGGGCCCGTTGTAGTTCTAAAATTTGTTGTTATTTCATTGATCGAAAAGAGCAGTGTAATTCTCAACAAAGTGGAACCACATTCAAATTTTATGGATGGTGACATTCATGGGAGTTGAGTGCAAATAAATAGGGAAATATACTTTGATGGGCGTAGAATTGGAGATTTTAGGGTGACGGACTAAAATCCCCAATTTGGTCCTAGGGTTTGGAAACTGAAGCAGAGATGTTAGCCCTCAGGCGAGGGGAATGTGGGAGCTCCGAAGTGAAAGCCGGTATCCTCCCAGCCTAGCCGCAGATTTAGTAACCAAGTATAGGATTAGTCAATGTTCTTTATGCCTAGTCGAAAGGGTAAAGAAAAGGTATGGTCATATTTGACACAATACAATTTGAACTAATTCAATTTATCCATTCACTTAAGCTTCTTGACAAGGAGAAGGATGTTTTCTTATATATTGAACTACACATTAGAAATTTTATTAGTAGAATTAGTTAATTAAGAGTTTATTAAATTTACATTTTTATTTCACTTCCCTGTTGGATCAATAAATGGGACTCCACTACAACCCTGTATTACTTGACTGACACGTATACTTGTGTTTGAAATTGTAACTTTACAAAACCATTATAAATATATAATTCTGTGTTCATAAATTCTTGCATAATAAAAGTTGCATCAAGTTTTTGGCGTCATTGGTCATTGCTGGCGTCATTGCTGGGGATTTAAATCTTCTAGTAGTGGTGTCAAATTCTTGTATTTTTAAGCATATATAAACTCGCTATCATGGGTTCCCTTGCCAGATTGAGCATACCTCTTTTATTGTTGTTGAGATTACAACCATTGAAATTTCTATGCCCACCTTTGTTGGTGGATGAGTATAGTGTTGGCAGAAGCATTAGTTTTCATAGCCTTTTTTGCAGCAATGCTCGTCTCTTTATTGTATAAGTGTGAATAGAGTTCATCAATTTGGACGGGTTATGATCAGGTTCAAATAACTATTCTAAAAAACTAATAATTAGATGGGAATCCATTAAAAATATGCAAGATCATGTCCTCCAAATCAATGTATCCTCTAGTAGTAAAAATATTGTCCATTAAAGATTTGATGTCCTACATATATTGAGACATAATAAGGACTTTCAAGTAGATGTCGTGCATAACATTTTGCAGTTGCAGAACTCTGGATCAGTTTGTTTCTTGATGTCGTTTGGCTACTGTGCTTTAAATTTTTGGCAGAGGGGTCCAAGTTGAGGATGTAAGGAAGAATAAAAAGGAAAATTATGAAGTAGGCAGTAACAGATAAATTTTGATTGATCAGTTGCCAGTCTGGGTTTGTGTAGAAATGTCAAGTTGAATGCCAAATTTGTTTTGGTGGACAAAATTTTGTTCTTCCACGAAGCTATCGAATTCATTAGATTTGACTAGTTTGAGTGTTTGAGATATCCATATTGGCTAGTTGTCACTTGATAACTAAACACGAGCTTTTGTTCTTGAATTTGAGTACTGAGGGGATTGTAATTTTATTTCTGGAGGTAGATGGAGGAACTTCAGATTAGCTAGTGGAGGAGTAGGAATCATCCATGATAACAGTAGAATGAGTCCCAAACAAACTTTCTGGAAATAGTCTGCGATTGAGAGAAATGAGAGGAAAGAAAACTTGTAAGAAATAAAATTTAGATGGAAATGCCTTCACTGATAGCATAAAAGCCTGCAGATGATTAGTAGAGAAACAATGAAGCATTAAACCAACAGACGGTAAAACAATCATAGATATTGTATATTGTTTTTTATTCATCTCAGTTGAAAACATTAAATAGAGGGTAAAACATATTAAAGTAAATGTAATACACTAAAGAGGAATAAGTGGTCCGAGGTTATTTACATGAGAATAATAAGAAAGAGTGGACAATATCACTTGGGTGAGAGAAACAAATTTTGTTATAATAACGTTGTTACTTATTTCCTATTAGAAAATTGATTAGGTATGAGATAAAAAAATGTAGAAGAGACGCATATTTTATGCTTCATATTGGTGTCATTGTTTACTCTTGGTGTTTAATCAAGTAACTAATTATGTTCTCCCCCACTTGTTCAGTTTAAAGATGCTGTAATTTTTTCATGTGTGTGACATACAATAAGGCTAAGAAAACTATTAAAATAGATAAGATGTAGATAAGATGTGCTCAAACCGAAGGTACACAATTTAATCTAAAAACTTCATTTTTATATACTCCAAATGCATATTTGTGTTTTATTTTATTTTACTTTTGCCTTATCTGAGTGTTATAGTTAGTTTGAAGGTGTAAAATTATTTATTCATTAATTTACATACATTTACATAATAAATTTTTTAATAATTTTTTTTATATATCGACTGAGTTTCACATAAAACTTGCACTTTTATTAATCTATATTTAATATGAAGATTTAACTAAAATATGAAATTATTCTTTTAATATATAAAAAAAGCAAAATAGACTGCAATGCTTGTAATATTAATTTAATTTATCAACCATAATGATATACAAGGCATAACTTTGAAGTATGTGTTTCGTTTAACTAATTCATTTTATAGTAAGTTTGTTCATCTTTAAAAAAAAGTCTGGTTTCAGACCAGCCTTAACTATAATTATAAATATTAAATAGACTTAGGACCCGTTTGTGGCAGCTTATAAGTGCAGCGACGTTTTTGAAAATGCTGTCTAACCGTTTGGTTTGCACGTTTTTGAAAACATTGTCTGTCGCGTTTGAGTTTTTTACATTAAACACAAACCGCCGGTCGACCCAAACAGACCCTTAATCAAAGGCGCTAACTTAACGTGCGTTTAAATAACTCCATAATTTTATTTTACCAATATCTATCCTCTTTTTGTTTGAATTAAAATATTTTTTTCAGTTATTTATTTTTTCAACTAACTATAATAGATGGAAATGAATTTTATAATTAAATCCAGTACATTACTGTCATTCTTATTTAAAACATTATGCACTCTAAACAAATTTTAAATTAAATTCTTTTCTAACTTGTAATGGCAAAACAACTAATTAAATCACAAATATATCAAACATTAATTACATCTAGTGCGGCAGATGCACTTTTCTAACCACATTTGGAAAGACTTGTCATTATAAGAAAATAAAATGTCCGTCAAACCAACAACAAATCAAAATTCAATTTTCCAATTTCCATTGTCGTTACATTGAGTTGCACCAACACGAAACCATCAACAATTTTAAAAAGAAATCAAAGTCCCATTATAACAAACTCACTTCATTAATTTATTAAGCGCCCCTCACCACTTTACTTTATCCATGAACATAAAGCTATCGGACTCCTCAAGCTTGCTGTTGATCTTTTTCTGAAGCTCCAAATCCTCCAGATCAAGCTCTTCGATGGAGCCGTAGTCCGACTCATTCTCATACCTCCTGCTCAAGAAAAGGTAGAGGAGGAAGGAGAAGATGATGATGGTGGTGATGAGCCAGCTGAATTCGAGGTTGGCGAGAGACTTGGCGCGGAAGAGATCGTCATCGCTTTGGCAGCGGACGACGTAGTGGCCGTCTTCATCGTTCATGTAGCAGCCCTTGGGGATGAGTGCTGGCGTCCAAAGAGCGTAGCCGAGGATGATGAACCAGAGCCCCTGTTTGAAGGGCAGTTAGTGAGCTTGTCAATTCTAGGGGTGTGAGTCAAGCAGACTTTTGAGCCGGTTCGAGTTCATTTCGATACGTGGCTCATGAACTGAGCTTGATTAGCTAATAAGCTAAGCTTAAACTAGTTCCGACTCCAATCGTTAGCCTGTGAGCTGCCTCGTATATTAAATTTAAGGAATCATATTTAAAAAACAGTACTTAAAATTTTATATTAAGTTATTTTTTTATTATTGTTCTCATTTTATTTATCATTCTATGTATGTGAAAATGGCCATATATATATATTTAGATAGTTAATTTTTATATTTATTGAAATTTTTATTGTCTTAATGATTTTGACATATATAAATGAAAAAAAAATTATAATTCATTTTAACAAATAAATATTACTTATATTTTCGGCTTATTTTGATGTCATTTAATAGTTTAAAATGTTATATAAATAGACATATAAATATAGATATTAGTGAATATACATACCTAACAATTTAATGATATGCATGTAGATAGTCCTTTTTCTAATTTTGGTCTGGTATTGCAAAAAATCCATCATTTATTTTTTAGGGAAATACAGTGATTTATAGCTAACATATCCGTCAAGGTTCGATCGGTCATAATATCATTTCTTAAAGTAAGAAAAGTTTATTTTAGCACTTTTTTCTTATTTTGTTGTCGTTTTTCATTTTGGGGAATTTAATCTCATGTTTTGGAAAAATTTTTGCAACGTACAACTTTATCCGGACAACGGCGGCGACTCTCCGATAGCGGTAGGGGGGAAAAAAATACCTCAATCAAATGTATTGCAACCGTTGTCCGGATGCTGTCCGGACGCAACACCTTCCGGATAAGATACACAAAAAATTGGCTGCTTTTTTTGCCTTGTTTTTGTCATTTTACTTAAATTTAGGGGCATTTAATTCCAACAAAATTTTATTTTTTACTTATCTTATCCTAAACTTTTTCTTTTATATTTATACCCCTCAAATCTTCAAAAAAAATGCCACCATTTGAAGTTTTAAAATATAAAATACACATTTTCAACAATTAGTAAGGTGGCATGGAAGTAAAAAATTTAACAGGTAGATAAATATGTAAATACATAGAATTAAGTGTTATGTGAGGAAATCCTTATTAATTTTTTTTAGGATACAATTCTAATGTATTTATATATCTCACCACTAAACATTTATATATATTTACACATAACACCCACATCTTTATAACCACATAAGAATATCATTATTATCATTTTGTAAAAGTAAAAATGTAAACATAGTTTAGGTGGGAGATATATAAAGACATAAGAATTGTAATGTAAAATTCCCAATTTAAATTAATTAATAACAGATAAATAAGAAATAATTTTTATATAATATTAGAAAATATTGCTTCAAAAAAATTACCAGGTTCAAAATTTGTTTATAAAAAATAAAAAATTCATAAATTACCACGTTGCATTTCTATTATATTTAAATTCATAAAATTACGTGACATCTATTAATACAGAAATTATTAGATTTAGAAGTGTAGAATAGAGAGTTGAGTACTAAATTAAGAAGCCCAGCTGATGGAATCCTACCTGGGAGGTTATGCTGATGGAACGAACGAACGCAACAGCAAAGCTGCGGGGGTGACTAATACCCATCAAAGTGGTAACCATTGAGACTCCGATGATGAGCTGGAGAAGCCAATGGTACTGTCCCTCCAATCCCATATGATCCGTGGAGTGGAGATGAAACAGCAGCCAGTATTATTATTATTATTATTATTATTAGGATTATTGACGTATAATCTTGAATATTTTGAGACTTACCTAAACTTTTAAAATATATCATCCGTTTCAAGACATTTGTTAGGTGAATGGGCTCTATTTTATCTTAGAGTACATACTTTTAAATAACAGTATATTGTATTTCTTGGTCTGTCTTTTCCATTGTACAAATGGTGGTATTTATACAAGTATTCAAAGATTTAGAATAGGAAAGAAAATAAATATAGAGCGGAAATTAAGTTTAGATATTAGCATATAGAATCAGTGTTACTTACACCATATCAAGGCAATTAATGCCATTACACCTTATCAAGGCAATAAATGTCATTTGATTTATTTCCTAACACCCCCTCTCAAGCTCATGATGGTATGGTGGATGTCATCTTAAGTTTGCTTAGTAGATCTTACAATCGCGTGGGAGGATGGATTTTGGTGAAGATAACAACTGATTGGTTAGCAGATGAGATAAAAATTAAACGTATGGTGCCCTGAGTAACATGATGACGATTAAAGTGACAGCCAATTTCAATATATTTAGTACGCTCATGAAAAATATCATTCTCCCACTCTAACTCTTGCTCTCTCCGACATTTCTTTCTCGCTATCTCTTTCTACTAACCCCCTTTTGCTCTTGCTCGCTACATTTTTTTATAAGGTATAACATCGACCAACTGACGACTGACGGAAAAGGGGAACCGAAAAAACTCTGCGAAGAAAAGAACCTGATTTGGATCCGGAACAAAAACTGGCACTTCGAATAAATTGGAGTACATATATGAGACACCGGTGCTCAAACCTTTTCTCGAGATATCTTCCAAACTGTTATGAGAGATCTGTATGGCTCTCAAGGTCAATTTCAGTATGTTTAGTATCTCTTAAAAAAAAAGAAGAAAAAAAGAAGAAGGGACAACATGCAAGTACGCTGCCTAAAGTTTAATATTAGGTAATGATTTTTTAGTTTAATTAGAACCCATCAACAAAACACGGCTCTCAAGGTGATTTTTGAGCAATACATATTCAAACATCGATAAAAACTTATCCCGAACTCCAATTTCAGCAAACTTACAGTCAAGCTGACCGGCTCGACGAGAAGAATACAATGTTACTAAATTAGTCTCATCCGAGTCAAACCAAGCTCAAACCAAGTCATTAAACTACTCTTTAAAGTTTTCCGAACAATATTTAGAAATTTAAACAAATGTCAAATCTAGCAAGCCTATGATCAAATTGAGCATCTCGACAAGACAAATCCAACAAGACCAAGGTTGCTCAATTCTGACATCTTTCAGGCACTCAAATGACAATCAAAACGTCGTATGACTGAAGGAATCTCTGAACCGTACGATCAAATTGATTCATATTCCTGCATTCAAGCCCCATCTCTCTCTTGAGAGGAGACTGAAGGTATGAAAGGGAATTTAAAACTTTGAGAAGGAGCTGAAGTCTAGCACCATCCCTGTCACCGTCGATCGCCACTAGCCACTGTCGACCACAGCTGACCGCCGTCAACCATCGCCGACCGCCATCGACCACCACCTACCGTCGCCGACCACCGTCGACACCCATTGACCATCGTTGATCACTGACAACCCCCACAAATCACAGTCGACCACAGTCGATCCCCGTTGACCACGAACGACCACCGTTGTTGGCCACAACCTGCCGGCCTTTACCGATCACCATCAGTCGCCGCCCACTTAATACAACAAGTTTATTCGTGCACCAACGTTCTAACTCCAAAAAGTGTTTAACCCATCATTGCCTGTGGGACGAGGGACTGTACATGGAATATCGAGTTTATAGTGGATTTTTCAGCGGGGCTAGACCTCGTGGTTTTTTCTCTTTACGGGTTTTCCACATAATAACTTCTGATGTCAGTACTGGTTATTTTTTTTATCTGAGTGTGTGTTGAATTCTCGTGCAACGCTAAGACGATGATCCAATACTCTACCGCCGCAAATTTTCTAGCACGCATCAATACTCTTGAAACAAATCTTATTCTTGAGCTAAATCGCATACAAGGATGTTGAAATGATGTTCCCCAAATAATGAATATGAAATCTATCATAAATCTCTTTTAACCAAACAAAATGAATTGATTTGAGAACTATAATATTTTCAAAGAAGTGATCTTATAAATCTTTAGAGATTTTTGGATATCATCTTTAGAGACTTTATTCTGTATCCAACCAAGTATGCTCTTAATTGTTTCCTTTTACCTATAATAAAATCAAGCCTAGCTCATAATACGAAAAATAAAATTTTTAAAAAAATTCAAATAAAAGACTCTCAACATCAAATATAATCTTAAAACACTTTAATTAAAAAAAAATAATTTAATGTTTGCTGAACTCGACCGCCTTCTCTTATTGGAAAGATTCTGCATCAGCATTCACCAACCCCATATGCCTTTGAAGCTCTGAAATGTTACAGAAGATGGTGAGAGAATGGAAGCCCTAGCACCTGGTAGACCACCGCTATCACTGCAAACCCTTTTATGGCTTTTATCACAACATACACAAACTTGAAACCATCAATTTATATTTGCACATTTACCCATTCTTTTTATACAGAGATTGTCAATTATAGCTATTGCTTATAAAGTTTGGAGGTAAGAAGTACAATGAAAGTGGCAACAAGGCTTCAAATCCGACGTCCCGAAGCCTTCTTTTGTTGATGCCTATGAAAGTATAGTAATAACTAATGTTTAAGAGCAGTGATAATTTTACCTTTCGCATATCTACTTAATGAAGTTCAGAAAACTCCTCAGGCCTTAAGAGATTCTTTCAAAATATACAACTTAATGCTTTACTTTTCATATTAGTTTTGTATTATTATTTTAAAGATTGTATTAAAATATTACTTATTAGGTAGCTCATAACGTAAATATCGGTTGCTTGTGTGCTTAAATTGTTATAAATGTCATAAACTAAAATATATAGTAAATTTTACATGCAGAAGCGATTAACCTTAGTACTCATAAGATTCTATTTACATATAATAAATGAGAACATTTTTATATCAAAAGGACCACGACATATTAGTGGACCAGGCAAAGCTTCACACTTGGTAAGTTTTTCATCATCATCTTCTTCTTAGGTCTAGCTCAGGGGGCCATTCCCTTTAATCCTCAACCAGTTTTATTTAACCCAAAAACAAAAAAAATCCCATCTTGGTAAGGGGTCTTTATCTCCATAGACATGGCAAAAACAACTTGAAGAATTCCACTATATTGTTTGTGTGCGCGTGTGATTTCTTTATTTTCTTTATATTTGTAGTCTTAAAGCATCTAAAGTTTGGGGAGGAAAGGGAGCTAATGCTTATAGGGAAATATGCACGTCATGATCAGTATTAAATTCCAAACCATTTAGATAGCACATGAAATGTAATGCATTTAAAGAACCACTGAGATTGTTCCATGGTCTTACATTTTGCCTATTTTCTTCGTGAAATACACATAAAAAGCCATTCTATCATATTTTTTTTTTAATATAATGTCATTTCTTCATGCTTCTCACCTTAGAGTCTAGTTTCTAAGTCTAGGTCTACATAATATTTTGATGTTCTTAATAAAGTTTGCAAGCTCTTGATTATGAAAGATTATTCTAATCTGTAATTTCTGTTAGCACGTTAAGAAACTGTTGAGAAAAATTAGGGCAAAGAAAACAGTAATCGACACAAATCCAGA